CTCTGCTAAATATCATACCCGAGTTTCTATTCTGTATCTGATTTGACAGTTGCGATACTACATACATGAAAAAAAAAATCAACCAAAAGCAATGGTCAACCAAATTGTTGCAGATCCAGATTTAATGTTTTTACATAGTTTATATGGACAACAGTTACAATTTAAGAAGTCTGTAGGACTAACCCTGCTTCCTTCTTAGACAAATTAAGAACAGGCAAAATGGCTACATTGATCAGAACTTAATTCATAGTTGTATAAATATCTAAAATGTTATCATTAGTGTCACGTCTTTTGCATGGTGCACAACAAAAATTATATGAAGAAACTATCAGATACAATTGGCCCCCAAAAATATGTTTATTATTTATATACAAACATACAAGACCTAGCTTAGTGCACACTGTGGTCAGACTGATTTCAGATACCTTCTAAAACATCGACGACAGTAAGTACCATCAGAGGGCTCACAAACAACTTAAAGGGATAATTCAACCCTATTCCCACACACACTACAATTAGTTAAACCAGTCTTTAATGTTGCTGGGAGAGTTGCACAGTAGTAGTGTGGCTTGGTATACATTACTTTTCAAGTTACTTGGAGAACTCTTCATCTGTGCTATAATATCTCCAATTCCGTTCCTTTTAAATTCCAGAATTCCATCACAGAACTGCCAACTATCGGTTTGATCAAGTTTTTGGAAACGTACAAAATGGTTCCCAGTGTTGTATGTCATCCTAACAGTTTTGTGCCTGTAATGACAGCATCTTTGCTTTAATAAGTGCTAATGTTTATTCAAATCACTTTGATGTTCTCTACTGAACTAATCAATATTTGGAACACTACTTTTAATATTAATCTTATATCCCAGTTACATGGAAAGGAGTAGGCAAAGGATTTATCTGGCCTAGGCATATTTCTTTCTCTGAACAGTCAATGCACGTATCTGAAAAGATGCAGTACAGTACTTTAATATAGCACCCCAAATGCATTTTGTTTTCTCTCAACTTACATGCACAGAAATTGCTGGTGGAAACAGCTGAAGGTCACATTTTAGAATTTTTCTGTGATTGGACTTAATCTCCAGTGTAATGAATAAGATGCCTGGTTCACCATTAATGAGATGACACTTACTCAATTGACATATGTTGCACTTGTTCACTTCGACTCTGAAATTGTAAAATAAGCAAAAAAGCTGCTAGTTATTATACTACAGATATTTTAACTAACGAATTTATGCTTTTGTTGTTAATGCTGAACACTAGTGACACCTGTATTTACTCATTCCAAGGGGTTTTATTATAAGATGCAGTTTTGTGCAGAAGGGAATTTTCTTCACCAATTACGGCAGAGAATTCCTGCATAATTTGATGCTGTGTCTGCCTCTCCATAAAACGTTCTCCTGGTCTGTAATCTTGACACAACCAACTACTGCACCAAACATCCACATGGAGAGGGAACGTTGGTAAAGGTGCAGAAAGGTCAGGAAATGGCTTCAGAAATTCATAGATATTAAGGCCAGAAGAGACCAGTCAATCATCTATATCATCTGCATAACACAGGCCATGATATTGCAATGTATTACCCCAATGTGGAGCCCAACAACTTGTGTTTGGCTAAAGCATCTTCCATAAAGGTGACCCGACAGGTTTTGAAGACATCGGGAGCTGAAGAATCCATCACTTCCCTTGGGAGTTTGTCCCAATGGTTGATCACCCTCACTGTAGAAAATCTGTTCTTATTTTCAGTTTGAATTAGTCTTTCTTCCACTTCCAGCCATCGGTTCTTTTTCTGCCTTTGTAGGAGGAATATTTCAAGGGGCGAGAAAGTAGGTTTTCAGGCACTGACCCTGGATACAAATGTTTATTAGCGAAGCTACTTTATGTGGGAGCCATTTCTCCCCCACCCCTCCTCCGCATAGAGGGCTGTATTTATTTCCCAACTCCACATCCAACTGCCATAACTGACAATACAGGGTTACTGTTACCCCAAAAAATGGCCTTTGGGGCACTTCTTTATAAGCTGCCTATTCCCCCCTTAGTCTGTTATTAGTGAGGTAAAAGTTCCTGGGGTTGTTAAGGAAACACTAAAGCTCACGGCTATAACCTTCTGATAATGTAATTGGCATAGGCAGTATTCTTTTCAAAACAAAGTATCTGATTAATATAACTAATATTAATTAATATAAATAATCCCCAATAAAGTGTATCCTAAAACTCCTAATTAAGGCAGAAAAATCCTCGAGGCACAAATCCCATATTGCAAATTAAAGTGCACTTAAACTACAATAGCATATAGTTCAAATCATTCTAAGCAAAGCAATTCATTGCATGTAGCCAGTTTGCAACAAATCACTGACAACAAATCTTAAAATTACTTTAAAGTTTATATATCTATACACTGGCGCTGCATGGGGGTCGCACCGAGGGCCACGTGCTGCCCCTGGCCAAGTGCCCGAGCTCCGGGGCCGGGGACGACCAGAGCACACAGCCGCGTGGCTGCGCTGCCCAGCCCACTCCCAGAGCCTGGGGCCAGCCGGAGCATGCTGTGGCTGCACTGCCCGGCCCCCCGCCTGAGCTCTGGGGGGGGGGACCGACAAGAGCACACAGCTGCGTGGGCGCACAGCCTGGCCGAGCTCAGGGGTCAGACTTGGGATACCTCCCCGGCCCCAGGTATGGTAGGATGGGGCCGGGGCGGGGGAAGGGCAGGATGGGGAAAGCGTGGGGGTCCTGGGCTAGGGATGGGGCTGGGAGGAGTCACGTGGGGAGAGCCTGGTCCCCAGGCTAGGGGTGAGGCGGGGAGGGGTCACATGGGGAGGTCACGCGGCACCCTTAGGGTGGTGCCCCTTTAGCCTCCCTCCCCACTAGCTGCTGCTGTAAGTATACTTAAAACACACACACATACTTAAAGCATACACATACTAACCCTATATACTGCCCTATACACTAAACCATCATTAAAAGAATATTAAGCTCACGCTATAAATCTGTTGCTGTTTTCTTTTCAAAGTCAAATCACTGCTGTCCAATTCCTGGTCAGTCAGCTCAGCCCTGCTCCAGCTTTCTTTTCTCTCTCTGCCGCAGTTCTTCTTTGGCTTCTCTCGCTGGCTTCCCGGCTCTTCCTGCACGCCTCTCTCCTTTTCAGACGTAGCCTCCGGACTTCGAAACTATTGCTGGCAAGTGGCCTTTATGGTTATGCTACATTGTACCTCTTTCTTTATGTATCTTCCTATTCTTAGAAACAGTTCCCTCACTTGCACATGCTCAGTCTTGACCCCTACCCCAGAATTTGGATTGACAGCTCTGACCTTTAAAACAAGGTACGACCAGGACGAGTGGCTTCCGACCAACCAGCTGCTTAACTGACTGGCCTGTCTGTTACCCCCTACTGCACATGCTCCATAGCTGCTGATCACGCACATGCTCCCTGTTGTCCTTTACCCCCTCCCCCCCCCCCCAGCTGTGATTCTGCAGAGACACATCCACACACACTTGGCTCTTTGCCAGCAACCAGGGCAACTTTTTTTTCTTTTTTTCTGAAGAAATCCAAAGTTCTTATTGAGCTGCTCAGGGCCCACAGCAGCCGTCGCAGGGAGCAGTGACTTCTCCTTATTCAGAATGGAGATCAGAGCTACAAAGCAGAGACTGGAGAATTGTCTCTAGTCACACACACACACCTCTCTCCAACCTAAATCCCTGCTCCACCCCTACCCCCTGAGTCCTTCCCTACACACATACACACACCCACACACCACTGTAAGGCAGGAGAATTTCAGCTCTCATTACAAAAGTTTCTAACCCTCATGGTAGCAGAGAAAACCTTGAAAACATGAAGCCAGTGCACCCAAACTGCTCAGAAACCTAAAGCAACTTTCCAACTTTCATTTTTTTTAGAACAGTCTCATGAGTTGTAACCATTTGGGGCTGGCGAACTGTTTAGCTAACATGTACTCCTCAGGCAGGTTAGTCATAGTACAGCTCAGGTTCACCAGCAGGAGAGAGAGGCACAATAACTCCTATTTGCTTTAAAGTTTCACAGTGAGTCAAAATGTCAGATAACCAGACTCAACAGATTTATTGATTGGAAGTGATTTGAGTTTGAAATCCCTGGTCTAGATGGAAACCTTAAGCTGTTCCTTTGTTCAAATGCAGATTTCTCACTCACAACCTTTCCCCTACCCAAACAGCAGCCACTTAACCAGGTGATAGTCCATTAGATTTTGCTGATATTTGGCTGAGGGGTCAGTCTGCCTTTTTGTCTCTGAGGAACTGGTCCGTGGGTTTTCTCCAGAACTGTGACACGTCTAAGTAACATCATACGGTAGAATCATATAACTTTGCATAGAATGTTGCCTCCCATATGTTCACAAGATAATAATGTTCAACACATTAGGAGTTTTCAAATGATACTTCAAAAGGCTTTGTACAAAATTGATCATTATCCTGATAAGGGGTGAACATAGAGGTACAGACTGCCACAGTAATACAGAAAGGTTAGTATGTACCCACTCTGGAGAAATGCTTTGCAGCAGATATCTCTTCACTCTGTTCCGAACTATGAGCTCAGTTTTATTCATATTTGTATTCTTCTGATTTAGGATACAGAAAATTCCAGATTCCGCAGACCTTACACACCTTTTCTTATCTAATTATGCACACAACAGTTTAGCTAGTAGTAGACCATAGCACACAAGTAGCATAAAACCATAGAAATATTTGCACCAACTGTACCTAGCACACAGTTCATATTTGGCAAACCTTAACAGAGCATACATCTTGCGTCTGACAGATTCCACATATACAATGAAAAAAGATTAGAACAACTGAACTACTAGTAAATTTGTATAATAAAGATTAGCATGAGCACAGAGCATAACCAGCTCCAGAAAGAAAGGCAAGATGGCTGCTTCTCCTCAACATCATCTCCCGAGAGTGACTGGAACATAACAGAGTCAGCACTGCAGGGAAGATTGCAAGTCTTCACTTACACATATGACAGTGCAGCCATTTCAGACTCATATTTCTCTTGTATTATTTCATTCCCTCCAGGAACGATGAGACAACAGTGAAAGAAAGTCCCATCTCATCATCGCCCTCCGACAGAGAGGCACGGCCACAGATTACCCCAGCTTGAGGAATGGGGAGACAATGGCCCAGTGCTGCTGCTCAGTTTGATCTGTGGATGTTGCTGGGATTAGGTTCTCTCCCTCTCTATTTAGGAGTCTCTCTCCTGAAACAGTGCTCTCTGGGCTGCCTGTTCCCATGCAGGATCCCACCTCTGTGCCTGCCCCATGACCTCTGGATGTTTTATGCCCATGTCACACTCTGGGCTGGGACAGCAACTCCACAAGTTATTTACAGAAAACACAACAAGCAGCAAACCCGAGTCCCAGCCTGCAAAGTAGAGCAAAGTAGCCCAGAGAGATTTTCCTGCACTCCTTGCCACTTGGTGTCAAGGCTGAGATCCGGGTACGTCAGGGCTTGTCTACACTACCGCGCAGGGTCGATCTAAGATACCGCAACTTCAACTACATGAATAGTGTAGCTGAAGTCAGCGTACTTAGATCTACTTACCGAAATGAAGACACTGCCGTAAGTCTATAGCTGACGCTCTCCTGTTAACTGCGCTTGCGCTCCTCGTTCTGGTGGAGTACCGGTGTCAACCCCCGCTGGATCGATTGCTGCCCGACGATCCAGCGGGCAGTGTAGACAAGCCCTAAGTGTTAGGGCGAATGTACACTAGAAGTGCTACAGCTCCCGCTAGTGTTCAAGACACCAAGCTAGCATACAAGACACTCTAACCCAATGGGAGAGAGCTTGCCTGTCAGCATAACACCTCCACCTCTATGAGAGGTGGTAGCTATGTTGGCAGGGAAGCTCTCCCATCAACATAGCTCAGTTTACACCAGTGCTTAGGACGGTATATTCCACATACCTGCGCGATGTAAATGAGTGTTCTGGTAAGTGATAAGTTCTATGTAGACAAGCCCTAGGTGGCATTAAAGTGCCACTAACTCATCCAGGAACACAAATTTGAATTATTAAAAAAAAAAAGTGCCATTATAACAGGAAGTAACTGACATCTCTCATCCCTGCCCTTGCCTTTTTTCTGGTGTATGACTTCTGATGGCACAATGAATTAGATGATGGGTACGTGATGTAGTCACGCTAATCATGACAGCAGCATCCATAGATGTCAAGTATTTGCATGTACCATCAAGATGATAAAGAAGGCAGTCCATAACCAAACGGCATGCTGTTTGTTGATCTGGAAAATCCAATCTCCAACCTTCCAGTCCTAGCTGGTATTGCTTGCCTGGCAATTAGCTGTGAAGACAGGGCCCTGGCTGCATTATGCATGAAGCCAACTATCAGGACAGTTTGCTTCATAATTTTCTCTCAAAGCAAATTCAAACCAACCTTCCTTTTGATTCACTACTATGAGGGGCACACAGGGGATGTCACAACCTTTCATTACCTCAGGAGACGAAAGCTCCTTTTCAGTCTCTGCCAGACTCTTTACCCATTATTCCTTTTTCCAAATAGAAAAAATAAAATTATTAATTCAATTTGTGGACCCTACGAGGATGGGAGCCGCAGTGAACAAACGGCTTGGGAGAAACCAGGACCTCCAAAGTGCAGTCTTGGCTCTAGTCATCTCTCTCTTAGCTGCAGCCCATAATGCCCACAATGGAACGTTTCAGTACCTCTAGGGTTAATGCTCCCATCTCCAGGACCATGCAAATTATTTTAACAAATCCAGCACCTAAACTCATGTCTCCTTAGTGAAGGGTGGGAACATTTCAGAGTGGGAGCAAGTTCTCCCTCTTTTACAGACTTTGAGAATAGGGTGAAGTGAGAGGTTGAAGAGGTTCCCTCCATCGAACACCAAGGTCAGGAGTCTCTATTCTGAGTGGGTGCTCTGGTGTTTAGTAAGATATGATGAGCGAGCAAAGCACTTCCCACACTGAGCGCAGGAATATGGTCGCTCTCCTGGGTGGGTTCTCTGATGCTGAGTAAGAGATGATGAGCGAGCAAAGTGCTTCCCACACTGAATGCAGGAATATGGTCGCTCTCCTGAATGGATTTTCAGATGTTCGGTGAGAGATGATGAGTGAGCAAAGCACTTCCCACACTGTGTGCAGGGATAGGGTCGCTCTCCTGAATGGATTCTCTGGTGGTTGGTGAGGCCTGACAATTGGGTGAAACTTTTCCCACACTCAGTGCAGCAATAGGGTTTCTCTCCAGTGTGGATTCTCTGGTGGCTCTTGAGATGATGTATATAGACAAAGCCTTTTCCACAGTCAGTGCAGCGATGGAGTTTCCCAGTGTGGACTCTCTGGTGTCTAGAGAGATTTTCTGGATGACGGAATATTTTCCCACACTCAGCACAGCGATGGAGTCTCCCCGTACTATGGATTTCCTGGTGTCTCCTGAGACTTTGAAGGAGACTGAATTTTTTTCCACACTCAGCACAGGAATACGGCTGCTCCCCAGTGTGGATCCTCTGATGTCTAATGAGATGTTCTCGTAGGCAAAATTTTTTACCACACTCGTGGCACAAGAAGGGTCTCTCTTCGCTGTGGATTTTAAGGTGTCTAGTAAGACTTGATATAACTTTGAAGCCTTTCCCACATTGATTACAGCGATGGGGTCTCTTTTCTGAGTGGATTGCCTGATGATTACGAAATGTTGATGAATCCATAAATCGCTTTCCACACTCAGCGCAGGCAAAGGGTCTCTCTCCTGAGTGGACTCTCTTGTGGATGTTAAGAGCTGATATATGGAAGAATCTTTTTCCGCACTCAGCACAGTGATAGGGTCTCTCTCCTGTATGTATTCTCTGGTGGGCAATGAGATGTGATAACTGGTGGAATATCTTCCCACATTCAATACAGGGATGGTCTCGCTTCTTTCTGTGAGCTTTCCCATGTGCTCTGAACTCCTTCTTTCTCCTAAAGCTCTCCCCACACTCGCTACAGTGATACAGTTCCTGTCTCCTATGAACCATCCAGTGGTGGCTTATCAGTTCTCTCTGCACCTTGAATTCTTCTCTGCACACATGGCAGGTATATAGGGTCTTTCTGGGCTCAGCTTTTCCCTCTGCAGGAGGCTTTAGATGTGACCTGGATCTCCTCTGATGACTTCTTGGGGTTGCTGGCTCCTTCCTGGTCAGATTTTTCCTCTGCCTTTGTGGCGTGCACTGCCTCTTGTGGTGTCTTCCCCGTTCAGATTTCTTGGAATGGTTCTTTCCTGATGTCCCTGGGAAAGGCCTGAGTGGCTCCAGGTTGCCACGCTCTTCCTCAGGAGTATGCCCCTCAGCCCTGATTAGGTTCCTCGCCCCTGCTTGGTGGGGAAGAGAGTACAGATGTTATTTCTTGTGCTGCTCACAAAGGGAAAACACTAACATTCCCAGCAGGGGGATGTGCCTGAGAACAGGGCTGACCATGGTCACTTGAGTGCAAGAGGCCAAACTCCCGGGGTCCCAGCACTGGGGAAGGAGGAGAAGGTCAGTGTCCCATAGGCCCTGACAATAGCCCCCCAAGTAAATGTGAAAATCAGCCCCCACAATTCTCTCCCTACTCTGAGGCCCATCTCAGTGGGGAGAACAGCATCACCACACACCAGCACTGACACCCCTCTCCCGAGGGACACACATGGAAAACGCACACTGTGATGGGATCCCAACGTCTCCATGTTCTAGGGAAAATGGGAGAGGGGGAGAGACTGGGGGAATCTGCGTAAGGGGAGAGATGGGGTTTCTAGGGGGATATCAGGTTGAGGAGATGTAGCACTTCTCATGTTTGGGCTTCAATCCCTATTGTAATGCTCGGTGAGGGGAGAGTTTGCAGCTGATGGACGATTCCTGAAATGAGCTCTCCGGCTCCCACTGGTGGACAGGGCAGAGCTGGTTCCCTACCTGCTCCAGGGGAAGAGCTTTGTGTGAGGAAGAAGCCCAAGGAGCTTTCAATTGCTGGCCAGTCCCAGGTCTCTTCTGCATCTGGAAACCCTGCATGAAGACAAAAGGTCTTTGGTTGACAGCACATGGACCAAATGAATATCACTGAGAGAAGCCCTTTTCCCTGCACTGTAAATTACTCATTTATGGTCACTGTTGGACAGTGGGTTCCACAATGCACAAGAGGGGAAGCTATTTGGGGCTCGACAGTTACTTTGTACTGTGGTAGCGCAACTGAGATCACGGTACCATAGCACCAGGTGCTGCACAAAATTACAGAGAGATCGCCCTGATGTTGAAGGGCTTATATACTAAATACAGAAAGGGAGGGAGAAAACCTGAGTCAAAGGAGTAACTTGCTGTTGTAATAATTGGGCCCACAAATTTACCCTAATTGGCCGTACAACTGCAAAAACTGTGAGAAAGTTTATAAAGTGTTACAATATCCTACAACACTAAATGTTGATGGGAAAAGGTGCAAAATATAAACAAAAAGACAGAATTGGTCCAAATCAAAAAGGCCTATAATGCAATTCAAGGACAGTGTTAAAATGATGGCTGTAACAAGAGAAGTGTGGAACTGGACATTAAAGAACCCAAATGACCGAGTTAGAATTTAGGCCTGACAGAAAAACAATGAGGGGCTGGGCTATTTTGCCCACTACTTCCTTTAAGGGTTTCTCAAAAGAAAACACTTTCGGGGGACAATAAAGGAGGAACTGAATGCATCCCTTGCTGACTGAAAAAACAGCAACAGCAGATGTGTGCCAACAACTTCTGTGGTGAGCGATACCATCATGCTGCCACTCTGATCCTCTTTTGGGATCCCAGATCTTCTTCATCCTAATCCTAAGAGATGTCTTAACAAGACTGCACCAGAGAGAGGGAGCCGGAGGATACTGCCACCGTTACCAGTTCTGGCTAACTCCCCCAAATCACCTGGAATGTGAGATTTTTGTCCCCCTGTCCCTCTTAACTCCCATGAATTCCTTTTCATTCCCCACCATATTTCTTCTCTTTCTTATTTTTCTCCCTTTGCCTTCTAGCAAATAAGAGTCTGGCTTAGGTGGCCAAAACTACCATAGTTTGCAACCTTGCTGTAAGCCTGTGATCAAAGAGGCAGCCAAACACATTGTCCAGAACAGACTAACGCTCGACAGGTTTGCCAGGCAGGTCTCCAATTGGCTGATCAGACCGTGTGCTGTGCCTGTGTTTCTCCAGACATGAAGCGGCAAGTAAGAGTAAACCCGAGTCAAAAGTCACATGTTCTATCTTTGCTGTTCTTTTTTCTTCCATCTTGAGTGGGTTTTGTCTCCAAGGAAACGGGATCGGATTTTAATAACAGCTCCAGCCCATTTCAACTAGCTGCTTCTCTTTTCCCCAAAAGGACAGCTATTACCATCTTTAATACCATCTAAAAGACTTTCAAACAGAGGCCTTTTGTCTAAAGAATTAAGGGTAAAGAGAAAGGCAACAAGGGACATTGTCAAAATAAGAGTCCTTAGGTCATACTTGACATTTCAAATGCCTTAACTCTTTTTCCTTCTTTTTCTGTATCTTTAATAAAAGAATAGACAGAAATTTTTGTGGTGTTTTCCATGGTACTACGTAGGCTTCTGTCTCTGTATTCCAAACCCCAAACCTTATTTAACACTCTTTAATGTTGGCCATAACAGTGTCATGTTAACACCTTTGTCTCTCTGGGCCCATGTAGTCTATATGAATTAATACAACATTGTCCAAGCTCAGCCAGCAGCTCAGTGGCAGAATGAGGAATAGAGTCCAGGTCTCCTCACTCCCACAACATGATGTTGCCTCCCAAGCAGTCCTGGGGAGTAATAAGGAAATCCCTTATTAATGTCAATTGAGAGCCCACAAAAGCAATGGAATAATGTTGGGTCCCTACAAAACTGGGCCTGAAGTGGGAAGGGAGATTCCCAAGTGCTGCTTGGTCAATGATTCAGACAGCCAGGGAGGGGTTACAAACACTCTGGTGGACGGGGTTAGAATTCAAAATGATCTTGACAAAGTGGAGAATTGGTCTGAAATCAACAAGATGAAATTCAAGAAACACAAGTAGAAAGTAGTTCGCTTAGGAAGAAAATATCAGATGCACAACTAGAAAATGTGGGATAACTGGCTTGGCAGCAGTACAGCAGAAAATAATGTGATGGTTATAGTGGATCACGAATTAAATGAGATACTGTTCTAAAAAAGCCTAAACATTAGACTAAAAAACTAACATTCCCGGATGTATTGTCACTTTGGCCAAAATTTATCAGGATTCCAGCTGCCTTCAAGCTACTCATTCGTTCCCTGTACAACACTTTAACTCCTTCCTCACCTGGGCTGGTACCACTCAGGATGTCCTCATCTTCATCTTCTGTGGGACTCTGGGCCCACAGCTCTTCCCCTCGCTCTATGCTGGAGATCACCACTGGCTTGGAGATTTGGATTCCTGTTTAGAGAAAAGCATCACCGCTAAGAACTTATAAGAACACTGTGCAGCTCCATATGCAATGTTTGTGCCAATTAGGCTATGAGCTAATTATGAAGGCTAATAGGCAATTGTTTTCCATGGAAACATGAACTGCAGCTTATGGTCAAAACTCCTGGTGCCCGGCAGTGGCGGGATATTGAGTTGAAAACAACCTGGCAGCTGTGGAAAGGGCAAATGGAGAGGACTGCGGTGTCTGACGGGATTGGGGGGAAACATGTGGCAAAAGCTGGATATTTCTCCTTGTCCTAGGAAAGTTACTGTACTATGGCCCAGCACCACTCTCCCTCCTGTGGATATGTTTACATAGGAATTAAACACCTGTACCTGGCCCGGATCAGATGACTTGGGCTTGAGGGGCCTGTGCTGTGGGATTGCAAAATTGCTGAGTGGATATTTCGAGGGAGGGTCCCAGATGGGGCCATCCCTACCTATATGCAAAGTACGCAGCTGCATAGGGCACCAGGAAATTTGGGGCACCAAATTTCCTGGTGTCCTACGCAGCTACATGCTGCTCCAGCCCCTGCTCTGCCTCTTCCCCCGCTCATGCTCTACCCCAGGCCCGCCTCTTCCCCCCTGCTCCACCCCAGCCCCACTCCGCTCCGTCCCAAAGCCCCCATCCCTGCTCCACCCCCACCATGCCCAAGCCCCGCCCCCACTCCCCTGAGGACTGCAGCAGGGTCGGGCTCCAACCCGAGCATGAACATATACACTGCAATTTTTAGCCCCCCAGTCTGAGTCCCATGTCCTGAGTCAACTGACCCAGGCAAACCACGGCCGTGCCATGGGTCTTTTATACCAGCATAGATGAACTCAGTCTGTCTTTCTCCTTAACTGTGGTGTTGGCTGGCCTTTCATCCTGTAGGCCTGCAGAACACATGGCCCTTTTCTGCTCATGTGCTCAGTCTGGGGAAGTACAAGAGACAGAATTCTCTTGCCTTAAACTGTGGAGCAGTAGTGACTATGGGTGGAAGGATCTCCTCTTGAAGATATGCAGTGTAGTTGTAGACGTATCAGTCCCAGGATATTAGAGAGACCAGGTGAGTGAGGTAATATCTTTTACTGGACCAACTTCTGTTGGTGAGAGAGAGAAGCTTTCCTTTCCCAGACCTAAAGAAGAGCTCTGTGTGGCTCAAAAGCTTGTCTCTCTCACCAACAGAAGTTGGACCAATAAAAGATATTGCCTAACCAACCTTGTCTCCCCCTGAAAGGGCTGCTCTGCTCAATTAAACATGCCTGTATCCATCCACACCCACACACCCCTCCTTCCAACCCCATAGACATCTCTCCACCCAACCACTCATACCAATGCTCCATCTCAGTTACTGTGTCTCTGTGCAGCACTCAATGCACTGTGGCCCTGATCTCAGGGAAACAGCTCCTCACCTAATGAGACCAGAGTCTGGTAATTTTCCCACATGACGTGTCTGTAAAGTTGCCTTTGCTCCTCGCCCAGCAGCGCCCACTCCGCTGGGGAGAAATACATGGCCACATCCTCAAACGTCACCGACATCTGAAAGGACAAACAACCCAACTCAGCATGGCAAAGTTAAAAACACTGGTGGAGGAATAGCTGTTGCCGGTAAGGCAGATGTACAGTGGTTCATGGACTGGGAGGGCCCTGGGGGGTTTGAAAGTTTGTACCATTACTATGGGTGCAGGTTTGTCGCAGTGTAAAAGAAGTAATGGACAGTGTTTTCTGTGTCTGTGACTCACCCCACAGTGGTGGCTCTGGGAGCTGAGCCTGGCCCCCTGCTGTGGGTGTTGTATCCTGTCTCAAAGAGTTGTACCACTGCTGAAGTCCAAACCTCAGTGAGTGTCGCAGCAACCCGGAGCACCAGATCACAGCCTGACTTACATTTAGCCTGTACACCTGACCCTCTGTCACCATGCTGGAGGGCTGGGCATATCAAACCTGAGTCGCACTGCAGCCCCTCCAGCCATAATGCAATGCCCAGAGCAGGGCACTGGGCTCAGCCAGCCCCATAGGACCCTGCTGGAACCACTACTGCGGGGTGTGTGTGGGGCACTGGAGTGGCATTGTGGGGTGAGTACAGGGTTGGTTTGCTCCCCAGTCGCTCCCTCCCTGGGCTTGCCCTCTTTCTTGGGCGGAAATTAGGGTTACACTGTTTTGTTCCCAGGATATGACAGAGACAAGGTGGGGGAGGTAATATCTCTTATTGGACCAAATGTATTTGTTCTTGAGCTACACAGAACAGGGTTGTAAAGTCCAAGTTCCAGCAGGAGCCCAAATGTCTGCACCGCAATTAAAAGAGCTGAGCACCATGAGCCGGTGTCAGCCTGCACAGTCCGGCTGCAGCTTTTGAGGGTTTTTTTTTTTCCCTTCGAAAACAAAAGAATGATTCATTTAAAGGAACCAAGTGATTATAATGTAGTGAGTGAAGCAAGAAAGGATACATAGAACATAGTAAAATGAACAGAGTTACATTAAAGAATTAAAGCGCCACAGCAAAATAAAAGACAAAGATTACATTGAATATTTTTAACACACAAGAAATACAGTGGTTTCAATTTAACAAGCACGTAGGGGTCCCGCCTACACAAAGGCTTTTACACTTAGTGTTACAATTCATGTCGTACTTAATACTGACATCTAGGCCTGGTCTACACTACGAGTTTAGGTCGACTTTAGCAGCGTTAAATCGAATTAAGCCTGGACACGTTCACACGATGAAGCCCTTTCTTTCGACTTAAAGGGCCCTTTAAACCGGTTTCTTTACTCCACCTCCAACGAGGGGATTAGCGCTAAAATCGGCCTTAGCGGGTCGGAATTGGGGTAGTGTGGACGGAATTCGACGTTATTGGCCTCCAGGAGCTATCCCACAGTGCTTCATTATGACCGCTCTGGACAGCACTCTCAACTCAGATGCACTGACCAGGTAGACAGGAAAAGCCCCGCGAACATTTGAATTTCATTTCCTGTTTGCTCAGCGTGGAGAGCACAGGTGACCACGCAGAACTCATCAGCACAGGTAACCGTGATGGAGTCCCAGGATCGCAAAAGAGCTCCAGCATGGACAGAACGGGAGGTACGGGATCTGCTCGCCATATGGGGAGATGAATCAGTGCTAGCTGAACTCCGTAGCAGTAAACGAAATGGCAAAATATTAGAAAAGGTCTCCAAGGCCATGAAGGACAGAGGCCATAACAGGGACGCACAGCAGTGCCGCGTGAAAATTAAGGAGCTAAGGCAAGCCTATCACAAAGCCAGAGAAGCAAACGGAAGGTCCGGGGCAGAGCCGCAAACATGCCGCTTCTACGCGGAGCTGCATGCCATTCTAGGGGGTGCAGCCACCACTACCCCAACCGTGTGCTATGACTCCCTCACTGGAGAAACACACAGGGAAGCGGGTTCGGGGTATGAGGAAGATGAGGATGGAGATAATGTAGATAGCTCACAGCAGCAAGGAAGCGGAGAAACCGGTTTCCCCAACAGCCAGGATATGTTTATCACCCTGGACCTGGAACCAGTAACCCCCGAACTCACCCAAGGCGTGCTCCCATCCCCTGAGGGCGCACAGGGGACCTCTGGTGAGTGTACCTTTGTAAATATTACACATGGTTTAAAAGCAAGCATGTTTAATGATTAATGATTAATTTGCCCTGGCAATCGCGGCCAGTACAGCTACTGGAAAAGTCTGTTAATGTGTATGGGGACGGAGTGGAAATCCTCCAGGGACATCTCCAGAAAGCTCTCCTTCATGTACTGCCAAAGCCTTTGCAAAAGGTTTCTGGGGAGGGCTGCCTTATCCCGTCCGCCATGGTAGGACACTTTACCACGCCAGGCCAGTAGCACATAGTCTGGAATCATTGCATAACAAAGCATGACAGCGTATGGGCCCGGTGTTTGCTGGCATGCAGACAACATCCATTCCTTATCGCTCTTTGTTATCCTCAGGAGAGTGATATCATTCACGGTCACCTGGTTGAAATGGGGTGATTTTATTAAGGGGACATTTAGAGGTGCCCCTTCCTGCTCTGCTGAACAGAAATATTCCCCGCTGTTAGCCACGCGGTGGGGGAGAGGGGTGAAGTGATCATCCCAGAGAATTGGGTGTGGGGGGGGAGGGGAGTTAGTCGGGTTTGTACTGCATGTTAACCCGGAAACCGCAGCCCCTCCTTTTACATTGCAAACCCATTTTAAATGGCCAACCCAACGGGTGCTTGGTATGGGAAATGAGAGCGCTACTGTTTGAAACCATTCCCACATGTTAACAAGGTTAAAAAAGCCAAAAGACTGTGTCTTACCATGGCTGCCTGCAAGCCGAAATCTGTGGCCTGGCACTGCGTGAGTGATCTCTCACACCAAACCGGCAGGCCCTCAATATAATTTTAATTTTTAAGTACTAGAGACAATGGGGCGTTCCCCGGGCACTTACTGCCAAATTGTCCCATTTAGCCTGTAGGGCTTTTAACCCCTCTCCGGGGCCTTTAACCCCTTTTCGGCGATTGCTTACCTTATTAGGGCCTTTAACCCTGAAGATTTGGATCCTACTTAACGGGTAGGCGGACGTTGCTGGGTTTCTACAGGCTTCTGCTGGTTTACAGGACTCGCCTTATCGCCGGCGCAGGGATCAGGTTACCGGGCAAGGCTCCTCGAACCTGGAGGATGCGCGCTGCGTTGCTTCGGAGTCTGATCCCGCACCGGAGAGTCAGACGAGTCCCGGCGGAGTCACCAAATTTGTTGGGGACTTTTTTTAACCCAGATGGCAAGGTTTGTTGTCTGACCGCAGAGTGAGAGACAGGCAACACCAGCAAGGTCCAATACAAGCTCTTTATTGAAGAGTGCACACAACAATAGAGAGCAGCCCGTCTCCAGAGAGAACCAGCCCCGATTACAATAACTAGTGAGATTATATAGACAGTTCCGTCGCGTCACAGTTAAAACAACCCAATCCCCCCCCCTTTACTAGTTAAAAGCTTTTAATATTCATGCATATCTATTTTCTTTGACAGTACAAACAGTTCATGATGCCTCAGCAGCTTCTTATCAGCTTTTCCGTCATGCACCAGAGGCTGGGAGAAAAGAGGGAGTTGGGTACAGATAAAGAACAGAAACAGGAAGTGGAGACTGCAAGTCTCCATCTGTCCAAACAATCTGTTCCTAGTACATCTGGTACAAGAATGCGGCCCCCACCTCCTATCTTATCCCCTGAAGCTTAAGCAAGCATGCCCTCAGGTCTTACAGAGAGGCCGGAATGGCCTAGCAACTACTGTTAGCCTAACTTTGGCTAAGCTGGCCAAACAGTGTTCTATACTCCATATTTTTGGGCCTAACAAGAGGAAAAATGCGACCTTGTAACGAAAGCACATGTGCTGTGTAATGTGAACAGCAAAATTTAACGTGAAAGAGTGTACCCATTGTTCTCTAAAATGTGTCTTTTTTAACCACCTCTCCCTTCTCCTCCACCAGCTGCAAATCTTTCTCCTTCACAGAGGCTAGTGAAGATTAGGAAGAGGAAGCGAAGGACACGTGATGACATGTTTACAGAACTACAGACTGCCTCCCACGCTGACAGAGCACAGCAGAATGCGTGGAGGCAGTCAATGACTGATTACAGAAAAGCCCAATATGAACGAGAGGAGAGGTGGCATGCTGAATCGCGGGATGAACAGAGCAAGTTGCGGGCTGAAGATGATAGGTGGCGTCAGCTTGCAGACAGAAGGCAAGAGTCGATGCTCCGGCTGCTGGAGCATCAAACTGATATGCTCCAGCGTATGGTTGAGCTGCAGGAAAGGCAGCAGGAGCAGAGACCGCCGCTACAGCCCCGTGTAACCAACAGCCCTCCTCCCCAAGTTCCATAGCCTCCTCACCCAGACGCCCAAGAACACGGTGGGGGGGCCTCCGGCCACCCAGTCACTCCACCCCAGATGATTGCCCTAGCATCAGAAGGCTGGCCTTCAATAAGAGTTACAGTTTTAAACTGCAGTGTGTCCTTTTCCTTCCCTCCTCCCCCACCCATCCCGGGATACCTTGGCAATTATCCCCCTAGTTGTGTGATGAATTAATAAAGAATGCATGAATGTGAAGTAACAATGACTTTATTGCCTCTGCAAGCGGTGCTCGAAGGGGGGAGGGGAGGGTGGGGTGATTGGCTTACAGGGAAGTAGAGTGAACCGGGTGGGCGGGAGGGGGCGGAGGGTTCATCAAGAAGAAACAAACAGAAGTTTCACACCGTAGCCTGGCCAGTCACAAAACTGGTTTTCAAAGCTTCTCTGATGCGCACCACGCCCTGCTGTGCTCCTCTAACCGCCCTGGTGTCTGGCTGTGCGTAATCAGCGGCCAGGCGATTTGCCTCAACCTCCTACCCCGCCATAAATGTCTCCCCCTTACTCTCACAGATATTGTGGAGCGCACAGCAAGCAGCAATAACAATGGGGATATTCTTTTCGCTGAGGTCTGAGCGAGTCAGTAAGCTGCGCCAGTGCGCTTTTAAACGTCCAAATGCACATTCCACCATCATTCGGCACTTGCTCAGCCTGTAGTTGAACAGGTCCTGACTCCTGTCCAGGCTGCCTGTGTACAGCTTCATGAGCCATGGTATTAAGGGGTAGGCTAGGTCCCCAAGGATCACGATAGGCATTTCAACATCCCCAATGGTTATTTTCTGGTCTGGGAAGAAAGTCCCTTCCTCCAGCTTTCGAAACAGAGCAGAGTGCCTGAAGACGCGAACATCATGTACCTTTCCCGGCCATCCCACGTTGATGTTGGTGAAACGTCCCTTGTGATCCACCAGGGCTTGCAGCAGCATTGAAAAGTACCCCTTGCGGTTTATGTACTCTGTGGCTTGGTGCTCCGGTGCCAAGATAGGGATATGGGT